ATCATTTCTCTTACACTGAGACAGAAGGAAAATTAACCATTCTTGTCAACCTGACATAATTCTGCTTGGGACATCCTCAAATGCCTCAAAGGCACCTAGATGATCATGAGAGAATTCCCAGTGACCAGGGGCTGATGGCCCAATGATAAGCCAGGCTAGAGAGACTCAGGCTGATTCTAAGTAGAAAATGGAACGTCCTGGTGGAGCTCCAGAAACTAGATCACCTGTTCCAATTTGCCAGCTCCACGGTATAAAACCTTTTTTTGGAACTTTTTAAATTTTTTGAACTCTTGGACATCTGAATTTTGCATACTGTATGCACTTGAAAGCATGTTTATGGGTGAAAATGCAGAAGAGGGAAATATGTTATAAAAAATCCATGAATGAACAAGACCTATGCAACAGAACAGAGAGCCCAGAAATAATACCACCCTCTTGCAACCATCAGATTTTTGCCAAAGCTGACAAGAGGAATGTGGGAAGAATTCTCTGTTTCATAAATGGTGCTGGAATAACTACCCAGCACTATGTAGAAGACTGAAATGGGACCTCCTCATTACACCATATACAAAAATCAACTCAAAATAAATTAAAGACTTAAATGTAAAACTTAAAATTATAAGAAACCCTGCAAGATGGCCGGGCGCGGTGGCTCAAGCCTTTAATCCTAGCACTTTGGGAGGCCGAGACGGGCGGATCACGAGGTCAGGAGATCGAGACCATCCTGGCTAACACGGTGAAACCCCGTCTCTACTAAAAAATACAAAAAAAAACTAGCCGGGCGAGGTGGCGGGCGCCTGTAGTCCCAGCTACTCGGGAGGCTGAGGCAGGAGAATGGTCTAAACCCGGGAGGCGGAGCTTGCAGTGAGCTGAGATCCGGCCACTGCACCCCAGCCTGGGTGACAGAGCAAGACTCTGTCTCAAAAAAAAAAAAAAAAAAAAAAAAAAAAAAAGAAACCCTGCAAGATAACCTAGGAAATACCATTCTAGACATACAAACTGGCAAAGACTTCATGATGAATCTATCAAAAGCAATTGCCACAAAAGCAAAAATTGACAAATGGGACCTATTTAAACTACCGAGCTTCTTCACAGCAAATAAACTATCAACAGAGTAAACAGACAACATACAGAACAAGGAAAATATTGGCAAACTCTGCCTCTGACAAAGGACTAACATCCAGAATTTATTAAGAGCTCAAACAAGTTTACAAGAAAAAACCAAACAACCCCATTAAAAAGTAGAAAAAAAATGAACATAATTCTTTTCAAAAGACAAATGTGCAGTTAACAAGCATGTGAAAAAAATGCTCATTGCTAATTATTAGAGAAATTAAAAGAAAAACCACAATGAGGTACCACATCACACCCATCAGAATGGCTATTGTTTAAATGTCAAAAAATAACAGATGCTGGTAAGGTTGCAGAGAAAAGGGAATGCATATAGTCTGCTGGTGGCAGTGTAAATTAGTTCAACAACTGTAAAAAGCAGTGTGGCGATTCCTCACACAACTAAAAACAGAATTATCATTTGACCCAGCAACCTCATAATTGGGTATATATCCAAAGAAAATATAGTATGGTTAGATGTTGTGGTTCATGCCTGTAATCCCAGCACTTTGGGAGGCCATGGCAGGTGGGTTGCCTGAGCTTAGAAGTTTGAGACCAGCCTGGACAACATGGCAAAATCTTATCTCCACGGAAAATATATACATATAAAAAAAATTGGCCAGGCGTGGTAATGCACGCATGTGGTCCCAGCTACAAGGGAGGATGAGGTAGGAGAGAATCACTTGAGCCTGGGAGATTGTGGCTAAAGTAAGCCAATATCATGCCCTGGCACTCTAGCCTAGGCAATAAGCCTGTCTCCAAAAATAAAATAAAATAAAAGATTTAGTAAAAACAAAATACGGTACGGAAACATTACAAAATACTGGGTAGCTATTTTTAAAAATCATGTCCTTTGCAATAACACAGATGAATCTGGAAACCATTATTCTTAGAAAACGAATGCAGAGGCCGGACGTGGTGGCTCACGCCTGTAATCCCAGCAGTTTGGGAGGTTGAGGCAGGTGAATCACCTGAGGTCGGGAGTTTGAGACTAGCCTGACCAACATGGATTAACCCCGTCTCTGCTAAAAATACAAAGTGGGCTAGGCATGGTGGCGCCTACCTGTAACCCCAGCTACTCGAGAGTCTGAGGCAGGAGAATCACTTGAACCTGGGTAACAAATGTTGTGATGAGCCAAGATGGTACCATGGCTCTCCAGCCTGGACAACAAGAGCAAAACTCCTTCTCAAAAAAACAAAACAAGACAAAACAAAAAACAACAACAAGAAAGAAAACTAATGCAGAAACACAAAAACAAATGCATGTTATTATTTTTAAGTAAGAGCTAAGCAATAAGAGCACAGAACACAAAAAGGAGAACAACAGACACTGAGGCCTAGCTGAGGCTGGAGGGTGGGAGGACTCAGAGGATCAGAAAACATAATTGTTTGGTGTTATGGGTAGTACACCTCAGTGACAAAATAATCTGCACACCAAACCCCCATGACATGATTTTAGCTGTAAAACAAACCCACATGTGTACACTGAACCAAAAATAAAAGCTAAAAGAAAAAAAAAAAAAATCCCCTGGTGGGAGAGAGTGCAATGTAAGTGAATGGACAGATTTTTGCTACAGATAGTGGCCTAGGTGGGGCTGTACTCTGATTTATTTCTGTGTGCATGTAGGCAGATGAGATTGTGAAAAGGAGGGCCAGAACCCTAGGTTGGTGGAGAAAACTGATTGCTGCTGCAGATTTGGTGTCTGGGGATGGGGATATGCAAGGAAACTTATAGATACTTTTGACTTTTTGTCTAGAAATGCTTGGATCAAAAATGTCATGGTGAAGTCCCTGAGGGTGGTGCCTAGTCCTGGGAGGTGTGTGGACACATCAATATCTAGTGTGTGTGTTTGGGAGTGGGTGGGAATCCAGTGGTGGCAGCTGCAAGAAAAGGGGGTGCATCATCAGAGCTCCTTTCCTCTAAGTTTTCAGTCCTCTGTCATCCTGGGAGAAGACCTGGAATCACAGGACAATGGGTGGTGTGACAACCTGGGTACAGGAGAGCAGAGTCTCCCATTCCCAGACACCCAGAGTTTTATTCCAGGCCAGGCCTCCATGGTATCTTTTTTCTGGCATCGAATCTGTAGAGTTTGCTGAACATCAAACAATTCTCCAACACCAACTCGTTGTCTAACATTTGAATTCTAACACTACCCAGGGTCAGCACAGACCCTGATTCAGGGCTCGGTCCCACAATATTGTTCTCACTGCAGATGCCAGTCACAAACCCTATGGGCCCATCTATGGTTCTGAGCTACTGTTTAAAAATTGGGGACTCCCATAACCTCCCTGAAGCTCAATAATTTGGTAGAGCTCCTCACAGAACTGAGCAAAACACTGTAGTTATGTTTACTGGTTTCATACATAAGATGTGGCCCAGGAAAAGTCAAATGGAAGAAATGCATAGAACAAAGAAAAGAGATGAGGAAAGATGAAACACAGAATTATGAAAAATATTTGCGATTAATACAATTCTCCTTCCTTTGTGTGCTTCAGGAAGAGTTTATGGAAAGAAACACTCTTCCCATTATGATTAAGATGATGCTCCCTTTTCTTACCTATCACACAGCCAGACACACACTCTGCACATTTTCTCCTTTTTCTCATTTAAAAAAAAAAAAAAAAAAAAAAAAGCTGAATTTGCCATCAGTAGTCAAAATCAATCTTTTTTTTTTTTTTTTTTTTTTTAGATGGAGTCTCGCTCTGTCACCCAGGCTGGAGTATAGTTGGGCCATCTCGGCTCACCGCAACCTTCACCTCCCAGGTTCAAGCAATTCTCCTGCCTCAGCCTCCCAAGTATGTGGGATTACAGGCACCTGCCACAATGCCCGGCTAATTTTTGTATTTTTAGTAGACACAGGGTTTCACCATGTTGGCCAGGCTGGTCTTGAACTCCTGACCTCTGGTGATATGCCTGCCTCAGCCTCACAAAGTGCTGGGATTGCAGGCTTGAGCCACCGCAACCGGCCTAAAATAAAATATTTCTTAATCAAACTTTACTTAAGTTTATCTTCTCTCAGGCTCCTGAACTTTGAGCTACCCTCATTCTGGGTCAACATACAATCCCATTTTATGTCCCTCCTAAGAACATGCTGATTTCAGGGTAAGAAATTCTGTGATCTAAAATCTGACTTTTTCACTCTCCATTTGCCGTTCCCCTCCCACCTCCTTTCTAATCTTGTTTGCCCTTACTTAGAAAAGAAAGCCTTTTCTGCCTATATATATATATATAAATATATATATATATAAAAATATATATATATATATATAAAAATATTTATATATATATATATTTTTTTTTTTTGGACGATCTCGCTCTGTCGCGGTGGAGTGCGTGGCGGATCTCAGCTCACGCAAGCCCGCCCCGGTCACGCCATTCCGGCCCAGCCCCCGGTAGCTGGACACAGCGCCCCCCCTCACCCGGCTAGTTTTTTTTTTTCTTTTTTTTTTTTTTTTTTTTTTGTGAGTCTCGCTTTCGCCAGCTGGGTCATGCGGATCTCGCTCACTGCACTCTCCCTTTTACGCCTTCTCCTGCCTCAGCCCCATACGGACTACAGGCCCCCCCCGGCTATTTTTGTATTTTAGTAGAACGGGTTCACCGTGTTAGCCAGGATGTCTCGAACTCTTGACCTCGTGATCCGCCCGTCTCGGCTCCCAAAGTGCTGGGATTACAGGCTTGAGCCACCGGCCGTTTTTTTTATTTCTTAATAGAACGGGTTCACCGTTTAGCCAGATGGTTTCGATCTCCTGACCTCGTGATCCGCCCGTCTCGGCCTCCCAAAGTGCTGATTACACGCTTGCCACCCGCCCGCCCCTGCCTATATTTTTGCAAGCAATAAATTATATTATAGTTATTTGGTGCTTTCTTTCGTTGCAATACATTTTTGGAATTTTTTTTTTTTTTACCTGCATCTTGAGAACATACATGCCTTTAAGGGTGTCAGTACCACATGTTTACCTGCTAGCATGACATCAACTGGCAGAAAAGACAGAAAAAGTCGACCCATTTCTGTCCCTTAAAGCAGAAGAGATTTAGAAAAATGTGCTGCTCCATGAAGATAAAAAAGTAAGTTTCTCCTTCCCTGTCCTCAGGTGCCCTCTCCTGCCGCAGACACCAGCAATTTCTGCTACAGAACCTGCAGAGAGAAACAGAAGAAATTAAAATGCTGGACACTTTTTTTAAATTCTGGAAATTATTAAATCCTTAGTACCAGCTCCCAGGGTGTTATGAGAATTAAATCACATAATGTGTTATGCCCAGCACAGTGCTCTGTATCACAATCTTGGGCACATAGTACCTGCTTCATACAGTAATACAAATATGCACCACTCTGACCTGTCCATACCAAGCCAAAACAGAAAAGGTCCTGTGGCCATGCTTTAGTGCAAAGGTGGAACTTAATTCTCATGAATGTATTTTGAAGGCCTCATACCTGATTCTAGCCTCACCTTAGAGTCACATGAGGCCCTTCATTAAAACACCATGGATGCTTCCACCCACAACAATAAACAGAAGCTGTGGGGAGGGGACAAGAGATTTCTGTGTATTGGCCATGTGATCCTAATAAGTCTGGGCTGATAACCACTAAAGCTAAGCATTGCCTCTCAAGCTTTAGAGAGCTTATAAATCACTTGGTAATTTTGGCCCCACTTTAGGTAATGTGATTGTGCAGGTTTGAAAGGGGTCCATGAATCAGTGTTTTAAACAAGTTCCCTGTCAATGCTGATGTTACTCCTCCTTGGCTCATTATTAGCATTAGTTAAAAAAGCAGGCAAAGGCGAGGTCCCTTACCCTTAGCACTGTTGTCACAGCCAGCTACTTCTGGTACAAATAAGGACAACTCATCTCCATCCTAAAGTTTTATATTCTTTGCTGACTCTTTAAAGTTTGCAGAAGAAACAGAAGGCAGCAGTGTCTGAATAAGTCTGGATTTAAAAAACATGTACTCATGTACTAGTGCAATGTTTATTAAGCCGTTACTATGTGCTCAAGTATGATACAGAGCACTGTGCTGGGCATAACACATTATGTAATTTAATTCTCATAACACCCTGGAGCTGGTACTAAGGATTTGATAATTACCAGGATTTAGAAAACAGGCCCAGCATTTTAATTTCTTCCGTTTTTCTGTCATCAACTTTTTTTTTTTTTTTTTTTTTTTTTTGAGACGGAGTCTCGCTCTGTAGCCCAGGCTGGAGTGCAGTGCCGGATTCAGCTCACTGCAAGCTCCGCCTCCGGGTTCACGCCATTCTCCGGCCTCAGCCTCCCGAGTAGCTGGGACTACAGGCGCTGCCACCTCCCCGGCTATTTTTTGTATTTCTTAGTAGAGACGGGGTTTCACCGTGTTAGCCAGGATGGTCTGGATCTCCTGACCTCGTGATCCGCCCATCTCGGCCTCCCAAAGTGCTGGGATTACAGGCTTGAGCCACCGCGCCCGGCCTGTCATCAACTTTTAAAAAAAATTGTATAGAATAAAAGCTAAGTATAGACAGATGAATGAGATATAAAAAGAAAAATTATTTTATTTTATTTTTTATTTTAATTTTTTTTTTGAGACGGAGTCTCGCTCTGTCACCCAGGCTGGAGTGCAGTGGCCGGATTTCAGCTCACTGCAAGCTCCGCCTCCCGGGTTCACGCCATTCTCCTGCCTCAGCCTCCGGAGTAGCTGGGACTACAGGCGCCCGCCACCTCGCCCGGCTAGTTTTTTGTATTTTTTAGTAGAGACGGGGTTTCACCGGGTTAGCCAGGATGGTCTCGATCTCCTGACCTTGTGATCCACCCATCTCGGCCTCCCAAAGTGCTGGGATTACAGGCTTGAGCCACCGCGCCCGGCCTAGAAAAATTATTTTAGAGAAAATTTTATTCTGTTTATATTTACTTTTTTTGTGACTTATGGAGCAACTACTGGATCTGCAGGAATAAAAAACAAGTTGCTAAATAGAATGTCTCTGCATCCACTCGTTTTCATAGAAAATTTAAGAATGAAGACCCTCAAATATATACTTTATTTTTTGTACTTATCTGCTTTCGGATTTCAGGAAATTGTGAGCAGCAGCTCTAGAAATGCTGCAGGATTCACCAGCTAAAAGCTCTTATCCCTGCCAATCAGTTCTGTGAGGCAAGACTCCAGGGTAGGTCTGGACCTACATAAGACCTCCAAAAAACGTGAATCTGAACAGGTCTGGGGCAGGGTGAGGATCGTTTGTAGAATTATGTTCTCTATGCCACTGGGATACTTCCAGTTTTGTTTTTCTAAGCTTACCTAAAAGAAACTTAAATCCCAGAGTTTCTGTAATTTTAATATTTTCTAGCTACTGCCCTGTTAACTTTATACTATATGCTAATATGTAATTTAAACAAATCCCTTAAGGTTTCCTAGGATAATTTTAGTAGAAAATAAATATGTAAAATTAGCAAGGTAAAAGAAACTGTACGGCTGGGCGCAGTGGCATTCCAGCATTTTGAAAGGCCAAGGTGGGTGGATCATGAGGGCAGGAGTTTAAGACCAGCTTGACCAGGATGGTGAAACCTCGCCTCTACTAAAAATACAAAAATTAGCTGGGCACCATGGCTGTGGCCAGTAATCTTAGCTACTTGGGAGGCTGAGGCAGGAGAATCACTTGAACCCAAGTGGCAGAAATTGCAGTGAGCCAAGACCGTGCCACTGCACTCCAGTCTGGGCAACTGAGTAAGATTCTGTGTGTGTGTATATATATATACACACACACACATATACACAAACAAAACAAAAAACAAAAAACTGTAACAATTATTCTGTTCATAAATATCACTTCAGGTGTAGACATCAGAAGTCAAAACAGTATAAAGTGGTGTAAATAAAGCCCAAGATTTTGGACACATCTATATATTGTAGCAACCATAGAATGCTTAATTCAACTATTTATCCAGTTGCTAGACTAAAAGTTTCTGGATTGTAGGAACCATGACTGCTTCATGTTTTTTTTTTTATCATTATGATTATTTAATGATAAATTGTACCTGTAAGGGATTTTTTTAAGAGGTTCATTTTAAAATTTTATTTATATATATATGTGTGTATATATATATTTTATTATACTTTAAGTTCTAGGGTACATGTGCACAATGTGCAGGTTTGTTACATATGTATACTTGTGCCCTGTTGGTGTGCTGCACCCATCAATTCATCAGCACCCATCAACTCATCATTTACATCAGGTATAACTCCCAAAGCCATCCCTCCCCCCCATGTATTTTTTTAATGGCCATATGAAATGGAAGTAACGAGTTTATCTACTTGGGTCTCCAGGTCTCCTTGTTTATCATCCAAGTACCAGAAAACTGGATAAATTCTCATCTGAGTACCAACCAAAGATACCTCTTGTAGGATGGGATGAACAAACAAAGGATGACTGATTTCTCTTACACTGAGACAGAAGCAGAATTCATCACTCTTATCAACCTGACACAATTCTGCTCTGGATATTCCCAAATGCCTCAAAGACATCTAGGTGATTGTGAGAGAATTCCAAGTGACCATGGGCTGATGTCTCAATGATAAGCCAGGCTGGAGAGACTCAGGCTGATTTTAAGTAGAAAATGCTCCAGAAACTGATCACCCATTCTGATTTGCTAGCTCTTGGGTAAGAGAAAGAACAAAAATACTCTACTCCAGTAACACATTTTACAGGTAAACATAGTTGTGGTCATGGCTCTGGATATTTTGTGGCCTTGATCTCTCAATCCTAAGATGCTTATTTACACTTACAGATTCTGCCATCAGATTTCTATTTCCTCCTGGACACTCTCACATAACTATAGCAGGTCAATGAACAAGATGAGAAAAATCTGAGCCACACTCCCAAATGGGGGCTGTAAGATGTTTATGTTGACATCTCACAATGCAGAAAATACCTTTTTTAGTTTTCTGTACATTCTCTATCCAAAGTCCGATGCTTTTTTGTAAAGCCCAGGCTTATCTGCAGATTCTAGGTAGGATCCACCAGGCTCTGCATCCTTTGGTGTTACAGCAAGTGGAGTGCAATCAGAGAAGAGATTCCCTAATAGCACATTCTAAGTAATAAGTCTCTATGGGGAAAAAAAAAAAAGCTGACACAACATGAATATAAGTAGACAGTTTTTTTGGGTCAAGTTTAAGGATTATAACATGGGAGCAAAGACTCAAGTTGCCTGGAATCTAACTTTGATTAGCAGCAGTTGCAAGAGGAGTTGTAAAGACAAAAACAGGCCGGGCGCGGTGGCTCAAGCCTGTAATCCCAGCACTTTGGGAGGCCGAGACGGGCGGATCACAAGGTCAGGAGATCGAGACCAGCCTGGCTAATACGGTGAAACCCCGTCTCTACTAAAAAATACAAAAAACTAGCCGGGTGAGGTGGCGGGCGCCTGTAGTCCCAGCTACTCGGGAGGCTGAGGCAGGAGAATGGCGTAGACCCGGGAGGCGGAGCTTGCAGTGAGCTGAGATGCGGCCACTGCACTCCAGCCTGGGCGACAGAGCGAGACTCCGTCTCAAAAAAAAAAGACAAAAACAAAGGGACAGAGAGTGGACTGATAGTTGTTTGTCAGAAATTTTTATTTATTTTTTATTTAAAGAAATAACATTGGTTATTGATTAGATATATACCATTATGGTTTAGGGTACGAGATAGTGTCCAATGTGGTATTGTTAGTTTTATATATATCTACCTGTGCCAATAGTGAACAGTTTCAAGAGATGAATACATAATTCAAAGGGGGAGAATGACATAACAGCACTTTCAATGTCTGAGTTTTATAACCAAAAGTACTTGCATGTTTTAGATAAAAATTTTCCATTTCCCAAATCTCGAGACCTGGATACAAAATGTAGAGCTGCAGATTTAGGGCCTGAATGGCTGGAGTAGCAGCAGGTCTTACCTGCACATTTGTGATCATTTTACCAAGAGAAAAAAGGGGAAAGTGGAGATTCTCATGTCTACATGTGTACTCAATGAATACATGTTACTCTGATTAGGTTTCTGGGCCCTATGGTCTCTGAATCAGTTTCAGGTCTGAAGATAACAAGAATCATTGAGGGAGATAAAATGATTGTTGCCCGGTGAAGTTGGTAGAAATTTGGTCCAGCCTCTGTAGAATTGACTGTAGAGGACTATAGATAACAAACAGGCAGAAACACAATTCTGCCTGCATATTTAGGGGACAGCATGCACTTTGTTGCACAAGTGTGAGTTGACCAGAAGTCTGAGGGAAAGTCCCCCCTATAGTAAATTCTGGTTGGCACCTTATATGTTTATATCACATCTGGTAATTACAGACAGTATTTGGAAAAAATAATTAAATGAAAAATTTTCTCCAGCCCCAGAAAAATTCTACAATAATAAACAGAAAGAAAACTGCTTTGTTACACAATCAAACTTGAATGTGACATGCATTATAGTCAATCTGCTTAAAAGACTGCAGAGAGTCGGCCGGGCGCGGTGGCTCAAGCCTGCAATCCCAGCACTTTGGGAGGCCGAGACGGGCGGATCACGCGGTCAGGAGATCGAGACCATCCTGGCTAACACGGTGAAACCCCGTCTCTACTAAAAAATACAAAAAACTAGCCGGGCGCGGTGGCGGGCGCCTGTAGTCCCAACTACTCGGGAGGCTGAGGCAGGAGAATGGTGTGAACCCGGGAGGCGGAGCTTGCAGTGAGCTGAGATCCGGCCACTGCACTCCAGCCTGGACGGCAGAGCGAGACTCCGTCTCAAAAAAAAAAAAAAAGACTGCAGAGACAGAAAGATGGTCACCAAAATTAGTCCACAAATATAAGAATTTCCAGCACCATGTCATAGTTCATCCTAAATTCACCTGGAGATTGAAGAGGCTATCTGTGTATGCTAATTGTTTATATTCAATGACAAATAAACTTTTCACTGGTTTTTTGAAACCAGGTTTCACTGGTTTTTTGAAACCAGGTACTTGCTGAAGGTAAGCTTTCACTCTGCTACAAAAATAGTTGAAAAGAGTTCTATCCTTTTGGCTACTTACATTTTAGAGCAGTGGCTCTGCGCTCTATGGCATTGGCTACAGCACTCTTGCTTGCTTTTTCCTGGTTGCCAGTGTCCTCTCTTGACCTCTATCATCTGCCACTGAGGCACAGCCTTGAGCACAGCTCATAGTTTATGTGAACCACAATTCCCACAGCAGCACTCTAGTGTCACATCAGAGAGGAAAGCCTGAGCTGCAGGAGGAGACCCTGGAGGCCTCTTGAGTGGAATTGCACCTTCACAATAATGGGAATGTGACGTGTTTCAGCCCCAGTTTTTAATTATGATGACATGGAAAAAATTTAGATGCATTTCCAGCATGAGTCCAGATAGAGATAGCTCCAAAAGTTCTCATGGTGACAGCCTACCTCATTCAGACACCATGGGATACTAATAGGGCTTCTGAAACAGACACCCAAATTATTGGAGAGAAAAACAGATCTCCACCTGAGCAAGATAATTTTGAGAGAAAAAAGTTAAAAAGATCTTAATAAAAAGCTCAGTTTTGATATAAGATTAAGTCAACCAGAAAATATTCCCCTAAAAGCATTTTCTCTCTAAACACCCAAAGTGCACAATTACTCTCAGCATGTGAAACATGAGCATTATGAAGAAAGGGGGCAGAATTTCATAAGAATTTTATAAAGCTTTTTTTCCCATCTCTGCTGCTCTCTCATTTCCTAGCCATTGAAGGGGTGTTCTATATTGAAATACATCTGACAACTTCCAACACTTTTTGATGAAGAAATAGAATCTAACTGTGTTCACATTGTGGAATATATTAGAACTTCCAACATAGTTAACTGAAGAGCTATCATGGTTTTTGGGTGACCACATCACCTGTCTTTATTTCATTTGTAATAGCAGCATTCCAATTTAGTGAAATAAAAGATACTAAAATTGTGTTTACTTATAATTATCCCTATTGAATAAAGTAATAAACATGTCAGACTAATATCTACTGTAATAATTTGTAGTACATTTTTTGGGGTATTAGATACAAATATCTAAGTATGAATAATTTTAATAAACTAGTAGTAATGCATGTAGCATTTAAAAAAAATTTTAACTATACTTCAAAGTTTATATTTCAAAAGTGTAAATAACAATATTAAAATAACCATATAAGGGATTCATTCAAAGTAAGTATTGTGGCTTTATATTCATAGTATTATAAAAAATACTGTTTATGGCTCACACCTGTAATCCCAGCACTTTGGGAAACTGAGGTGTGTGGATCACCTGAGGTCAAGAGTTCACAATCAAGCTGGCCAACATGGTGATACCCTATCTCTACTAAAAATACAAAAACTTAGCCAGGCATGGTGGCATGTGCCTATAATCCCAGCTACTCAGGAGGCTGAGGCAGGAGAATTGCTTGAACCCAGGTCCCAGTGGTTGCAGTGAGCAGAGAGCAAGCCCTTACACTCCAGCCTGGGCAAAAGAGTGAGACTCTGTCTCAAAAAAAAAAAAAGAAAATACTGTTTAATGTATATGAATGTATTGTTATGTGTAGTGTCTGCAAACGCTACACATAACTATGCTAATTATTCTGAAGTAATTAGTAGTAATATAGGTACAACTACAGACTCTACTGTTCAGTTTATGCCCTGAACTGTTTTTGCTTTGCTGTGTAAGTACTTCAGCCTGCAAATTTTGGATAATTACCTTGGCTAATCAGGTTTCTTTCAAAGAAACCATCTTTTAGTGTTTATCACTCTGTATAGCTAAATTTAATTTTATGTTTCTGCTAAGCTTCCGTGTGTTCTTAAAATGAGCTTTTATCTAAACACATTTGTGTTTACTTTAAAAGACTAAAAATGGGCCAGGCATGGTGGCTCACACCTGTAATCCCAGCACTTTCGGAGGCTGAGGCAAGTGGATCACTTGAGTTTGGGAGTTCGAGACCAGCCTATCTAGTAAAAATACAAAATTAGTTGAGTGTGGTGACACGCGACTGTAACCCCAACTACTTGGGAGGCTGAGGCGGGAGAATCCCTTGAACCTGGGGGGCAGAGGTTACGTGAGCCAAGATCATGCCATTGCACTGCAGCCTGGGCAACAAAAGTGAAACTCCATGTCAAAAAAAAAAAAAAAAAAGTCCTAAAAAGGAGAAAAATAAACTTTTTAAAATTAGAAACAAAACAATAAATCAGAAGTACCAGATAAGATAATCGAAAGTAAAAAAAAAAATCACAGAAAGTTTATTTGTTAATATTGTTTACAGATATTTCAAGAAAGCAGACAAAAATATCTAGACATAATCTAAATCCCTTAAGGAAAAAGAATAAGAAAAAAATTTTTTGGAACTTTTTAAATAGTTTTTGAACTCTTGGTGACCTAAGTTTTGCAAATTGGATGCACTTGAAAGAATGTTAGCCTGGGCACAGTGGCTCACACCGGGAATCCCAGCACTTTGGGAGGTTGAGGTGAGCAGATAACCGAGGTCAGGAGTTGGAGATCAGCCTGACCAACAAGGAGAAACGCTGTCTCTACTAAAAAATGCAAAATTGGCTGGCGTGATGGCGCATGCCTGTAATCCCAACTACTCGGGAGGCTGAGGCTTGAACAAAGGAGGTGGAGGTTGTGGTGAGTCGAGATCGTGCCACTGCACTCCAGCCTGGGCAACAATAGCCAAAGTCCGTCTCCAAAAAAAAAAAAAAGAAAAAAAAAGAAAAAAAAAGAAAAAAAAAAGAATGTTTATGGGGGGGGAAGCAGAAGAGAGAAAGATGTTATAAAAAATTCATGAGTGTTCATGAGTGCACAAGACCAATGCAAAAGAATAAAGAGCACAGAAATAATGCTACCCTCTTGCAACCATCAGATTTTTGACAAAGCTGACAAAAGAAATGTGGGAAAAATTCTCTATTTAGTAAATGGTGCTGGAATAACTAACTTGTACTATGTAGAACACTTAAACTGAACCCCTTAATTACACCATATACAATAATCAACTCAACATAAAGACTTAAATGTAAAACATTATAAGAAACCCTGCAAGATAACCTAAAAGCTACTGTTCTAGACATAGAAACCTGCAAACACTTGAGGATGAAGCTACCAAAAGCAATTGCAACAAAAGCAAAAGTTGACAAATGGGACCTATTTAAAATAAAGAGCTTCTTCACAGCAAAGGAAACTATCAACAGAATAAACAGACAACCTACAGAAGAAAAGAAAATATTTGCAAACTTTGCCTCTGACAAAGGTCTAATATCCAGAATTAATAAGAACTTAAACAAGTTTATAAGAAAAAAAACAAACCTCATTAAAAAGCAGGCAAAAAACATGAACAGATGCTTTTCAAAGGAAGACATACATGTG